AACTACACTCATACCCCGTTCTTCTATCAATCTCCATTACCGATACAGCTCTGTCCCCATGACACATGTGCCACCGCCTCTTCACATCCAAGCTCCCTGCACGCCCTCTTTCCTAACAAACCTGGTAGTAGTACTTTCCTCATCTCACATAAATCTGCTAGATCCTCTCCCAATAACTCAGCCACCCCTCTCCCCACAAATTTATATAAACCCCACCCCAACAAATCTCACATTTAACTTCCAGTAACCTGGATAACTCTAAGGGAACATGGCCAAAATCAACAAAGTCCAGATAAATAACCCCACCAGGGCTACAATCGGTGTATACGGCACCTAACGTACGCACGCTCCTCGTTATGACTTGGCCATATCATTCCACTATTTAATCCACTATCAGATCCCCCCACCTCCGACATCCTTTTTGACCCCCACTCATAATTACAATATATACTGTCATCATAAAGTTTCAAACAAGTATAAACTCAGGGTTGCTTCATCTTAATTGACTGCGGTAAAAAGACAATGACCACTTAAAATCCCCCACCCCCCACCAGTGCCTATATTGAGGAAATTCAACATCACATATACAAAGAGAGAAAATGGTTAAAAAACAAAACAACTTATTGAAAAATATGCTAAAAAGAAATCAATCAATTACAATAAATTGAACCACTATTGACACACAATATTCGTACAGAAAATAACTCAAAACCTAAATAAATGTCTTCAGCAACTGATATAAAATATTTCTCACTCCACAATAGGCCACACACGTAAACTTATTTTACAAATCAAATATTTTTCAAAAAAATAATGGAAAAATATACTTAACACCTCAACCACATTTCCTGGAATGCTTTCTTTATAAATTATGACCAGCCCCTCAGTATTCTTTGTAAAAACATCTAAAAATTAGCTCCTTTGCATAAGGGAGCTAAAAATTACAGATCATCTAATTCTTATAATCATGACATTAAAGATTTCATGGACCCAAAAAACAATAGCATACTTTTAAAGCATGCCTCTCACACATTATGAAACTAAAACATCATTTACACATACACATTTTTGACACTAAAGGGAATAAAAACATAGACACAAATTTTCAATTTCCTAACAAACAATAAACAATAATCAATTAAAAAAAATGATCTACCCAGATGACAAATAAACAAACTTTACTCTCAACATTTTTCAAAACCTCTTTCACTTTTTTTCTAATTCCAATAACTCGCGCCATGGGCCCAAGAAACAACAAACCCCTTTGTTAAATAAACTGAGGAAAACAATCTAATTCAAAAATGAAATCACTGAAAAATATTTGAGTGCATCTTTTTTACACACCTTGCCATAAAAATGTATATGATAAGATTCTGACAAAAAGGACAAACACACATTGGACAATTCAAAACCCCAACAAGTCTAGGCCTCTTTCACAAGAAAATACAAAAACAGGATAGGCCTACATCACACAGGAAAGCAGCATTCCCAAAACACAGTAACACATGGGGGGTCATAAAGATAATTTTTCTAAACTGCTTTAGCCCCCATTGTGAAGAAATACAACAGGAAAGAAGAGCAAACCACTCAAAAGCTGCAACAGTAACAGAAACAAACATCACAGCTCGGGAAACTGCGGCAGAATAAGACGAGTAAGACAGATTCTTATGTACATTTGTGCAAATTAGACTCGAGTGAAAAAACATTTATCCATCAACTTCAATAGCCTAAACAAACAAGTTGTTGCAGGACATATTGGAAATATATACAGTGACACTCTTGTCTCCCACTTCAGGGAAATCTTAAACAAACGCCACAAACAGAGATATTTGGTGCGCTAAATCTAGTGGACTCTCAAGCTGGTCCCAGTGCCATTAAAACAAGTAAGGAATAAAACCCCACATACAGACTTCATACCTCAAGTCCTAAAATCAAATTAGATTCGCCTTCCAAAAAATGGTGTATACCTTCCTCCTATCCCCTCCTCCCCATTTTCCATCCACCCACAACTCTAAATGTATTCTTTTTTTTAAATCCATGTAATTCATTTCTCATTATTTTCATTATGTAAATCTTTATTTAATTTTAAAAAAAATATTTCATTTTAAATAGCTTTGGGGTGTCTATTGTAACACATTAATTTCATTTCTATTATTTCTTAAGGGGGGAAAATGGTTTCGAGTTTCCTGATTTTCGACATTCGGAGAGCTCTATGCAACAGATTAATCGCCAAACTCAGATCCGCTGTAAATACTCGATAACTCTATCTCGTAAAAGTTTAAACCCTATCCAACTTTGTTTTTTTAATTACATTACACAACTCTATTCTACTCAATGAACATCAACACAATCAAATCCCCCATATGATCTCTCTTTCAAATATTACTCATTTGTGTTTAATTCTTTACTAATTTTTACTACTGATTTTATATCATTGATTACTTAATCTCAATTTCATTTTAAGCATGCCCATAATGCTCTACATACAAGGGGCATTTTGGAATGTTATATTAACCACTAATATTTCCTTGGACGTTCTATAATATCATATCCAAATGAATAATAAATAACAAAATAAATATTATATAAATAAACAACTTCTTCTCTAATGTTCAGTGTTTTGTGTAAACCACGACACAACCCCCCACCCCCCACCTTACGACACCTCTTCCCTGGAAATCACACATGAACCCTCTAAATCCCCCACCAGTGCCTAGACAAATTAAATACACAAACATATAATGAAGCATATACCATTCAAGAAACCTAAAATAACATCAGATATAAAGACACACAGATCATGTTAAACAACAAGAAAACAGGTTGCTTAAAAACACAAATATGCTACAAACAGAGAGACACTTAACCTAAACATAAAGAAATAACAACAAATACTCGTCACGTCATACCTCCCACAACAACAAATACAAAGGGACGCAAAGGCCATATTACAACAAACCCTATTCCTATGCAAAATCAACACTAATAACTAATTGCAACATTACTCATAGGAGATTTGTATATAAACAGAATAAAGTCAAATCCTAAAACGTGTTCACCAAATGACTAAAATATACACAAATATTTTTCACTCCAGACAAACTTTTCGAAAAACTCACTCAGCACCTGGAACACATTCGTGGAATGCTTTATTTATAATAAAATTTCAAATTACCACGAGCCCTCCGTATCTTTGAAGAAACATTTAGGTGAAATACCTCCAGAGGCTTTAAAGACGGCAGCTCCTTTGTACAAGGGAGGTAATTACAACACAAACTCAAAATTACACACTAGTCTCCCACATCATAAAAATATTCAAAAGACTGATGATCTTATCGTATTTCATTGACCAGCATAACCCGAACCACCATGGTTTTATAGTAAAATCATCATCGTGCCTGTCACAGATTATGACCAAATTATGGAGACACTGAAAGACAACCAAAATGAAGACGTGATTCATATAAATTTTGCAATGACAAATACAATCGTGGATAGATAGCGCACAAAATGACCATTACACAATATTTAGGCATTTCAATTTTCAATTTCATAACACACAAAAAGGAACAGGGGAACATCCAGCATCAGCAACCTCAGTGACCCAACACACTATCCTTGCACCTCTGCTGCTTCTCTATATCGTTTGCACGTGACACTAAAATAAAAATCAAACATTACATACTAGAAAATTACTACATATAAAAACAAACTTTTCCAGTACAAAGTAGATATCAACATGTAATTCAATAAGTTCCACCTGATTAGTTATGTAAACAATTAACAACTCAAAACAAATAATATATAGGGTTACCAAATGCAACACAAAAAATACATAAAAGACCTGGGAATAATTGAAGACCTTTCCTATTAAAACATCATAAACGTCACAACGGCCAATAAAACAAAGACAGTCCAACCTCTAATTGCTACTTTCGTATATTCCGTAACATTCATCTCAACTGCATTTACTCCTATGTAGACTTCATTTTCCTCATTTAAATTCATTCAATTACAATTAAAGCATTACAGTGGATTTCTTCTGTACTTCAATAATTTCCTTAATATCCACTCTACAACTTATTTATATCTATCTCCTTTCATTTAATATGACATAATAAATAAAACATATAAACCTCATATATACTCTCAAATGAATCAAACATGAGCAGTGGACCACAGTTTCCCTGGACACCGGCCAAAATACTTCATGAATAATTTCATTAATATCATCTATATTTCCTTATAATACGTCATTATCTAACAGGTGGAGCCAATCACAACCACTCCTCTTTCCTGTGATAAATAATACCATCTAGTGACAGACTTTTGAAGCCATCTATTATTATATTTATAATATTATTGTCAACGTAATATGTTTTCACACAGCAATAACCCACGGAATTACTGCCATCCTGCCACATGACTGTGATAAAAATACCTGTAACTGTTTTGCATGTTAGTACCATTACTGGTGTCTTTTTCTGTCTCATAAACACACTAGATAACACGAACATCTGGCTACTTACACTTAGGTCACACTTCACAGACATAAATATACTATATATATATATATATATATATATAATATATATAATATATATATATATATTAAATATATATATTATATATATATATATAAATATATATATATATATATAATATATATATATATATATAATTCTGTTCCACTTCCCCATGGAGGTAAGAGGAAATAAACAAGAACTAGTAAGAAAATAGAAGAAAACCCAGAGGGGTGTGTGTATATATATGCTTGTACATGTATGTGTAGTGTGACCTAAGTGAAACCTTGCATGCTTATGAGACACAAAAATAGATACCAGCAATCCTACCATCATGTAAAACAATTACAGGTTTTCGTTTTACACTCGCTTGGCAGGACGGTAGTACCTCCCTGGGCGGTTGCTGTCCACCAACCTACTACCTAGGACACTTATATCTACCATACATATATTATCAGGAAGATATAAAACACAACATCTAGGAATCACATGTATTTGGTAAATTCATTAGCAATGATCTTCCCTGGTACAAGGACCACTTACATCACTATGGTGAAGACATTCATGGAAGTAGAGAAGCCCAGTGTAAGCTGATAAAATGAGCAAAACTTAAAATAAAAATAGTATTTACAGATTGTCAAACATTCTGCCTATTTACATTGATATGAATAATAAAAATGAGAGACTAGGAAAGGGATTGAAACAGGTATATATTTGTCACATTAGTAAGGTATAGTAATGGTTTCTATGAAATATGAAGAAGGAAAAATTGAGGTTTTCTTTTAGATTGACTAAGTTTCCTCAGTGAAACATGAACTAACTCTTTAAATTGGATTGACAGTAAAAATATAGACTGAGGTATTAAAAACAGTAATCTTATATTCTGACTGATGTGTATACATGCATGTTCAAATTATTATACATTCCAAAACACTAAGATATATCAAACACCACCTCATATTTTCACAAATTCAAATACATTTTCAGGCAAATTAAATTTAGGAAAGAAGTCTTTTCTTCAAAAAATACTGAATTTTAGAAAAAATTTCAACTTCGAAATTTATATCAGAATTCCAAAAACTACAGCTTTGATTCAAAACTACAATATATTACTGAGGTAAATATACAATGTAGCTAGACAGTCATCTGGCTCTTCTTTAAGAGTCTTGCACAATATAAAGCCATTAGGTGTGTTCTATATACTTTAGAGGAACAGAGTAATACAAATTATCACTAAAGAACGAGGAACTGCCTTAGTCGTGACAGTGTACGTCAAAATCACGTTAATATTGTTACAGAACGTGAGAAACTAATTTGTTGTTGAACTATAATATGAACATGCAAGTCTTTCATGTCAAAGATAAAAAAAAAATCCAAAGATATGCATAACAGGATTAGGTAATGTACAAAGTTTTTAAAATTGCTCAATATAACAGCATTATGCTTATATTTCTCACACAAAGAAACTGTCAAGAATACTCTCCCAGCACTTTAAAAATCTTCCAAAGAATTTCAATTCAGTATGAACATGAGCTACAAGGAGCTAGGGATAATTTCATATCATAATAACATGTGCATCATTACCATTCACCTGCTTCTGTAATGAGTCTATAGCGATACTAACCGTCTCCCAAGTATCTGGGAGATGGACCCAGCTCGGTATCAACTGCTCTTGCTTTGTCCTCCCATTTCATTCATTTACTATTCCTCGTGTACAAATACCACAAAACGAATGTTACACCTTGTGCAATAATAGAGTAAATTTCGTATTTCTAAAATAATATTTATATGGCTGCTAAACTTCTTTTACAGTGTCCAAGCAATTATATGAAACCTGGTTTTGATATAATTAATGGATAGTAATTTGATAGCACCTAGATTCACACATAAGAAAAAATGTATATACAGTGGAACCTCAAATATCAAACTGCTCCCAACTCAACCAATTATCTAAGTGTATTTTTCAAAGTGTTTTTTTTTGAGGGTCTGAAATAAACTAATCTAATTTACACTATTCCTGATGGGAATAAATTTGTTCGGTAACGGCACTCAAACAGCCGTCTGGAACGAACAAAGTTTGATATTTGAGGGTCCAATGTATGCATTAAAATTGCAGATGTATTAATAGAAGAGAGACAGGAAGGTTGATTCACAACCCAAGAGTTTCCAAAGATGAGTGGAATGATTGACATACTGCCTGATTAGTTAATACTGCAGCATTTTATATATACCTCACAGATCTAAAAGATAAAAATTTATTTAATAAAAAAATGCAAGTTAAGAAATAAAAAAAGGGGCAAGAAATTATTAAAACATTAAATCATCTATATTATACACCATATCAAGAGAGTTCAACTAATGATATCAAGTCCTGCGTTAAAAAAATGTAGAGGAGCATAATTGTTAAAAATGTATGAAGGATGTGCATCAAGTGGCATTCTGAACATCTCTTGGTAGCCTCGGACAAAACTTCTCACTCCCTCTCTCTCTTTCTCGTAACTTTACTCAGAATTATAGATTTACACCAAAAAGATTTTGCAAGATTAAAAGTTAGACAAGTGGGTCAAAATTCCTAAATTAACAACCCTTGCATTTGTAAAGGTTATGATTATGGGGGAGTATGAATACAAATTATAAAGTAACCTATTGAAATACAGTACACAGATACCGTATAATACAAGCAAGTTCAGCATTAAATGCTCAAGTAGGCACCATTAATAAGGCTGCACTTGGCTGACATTATTGATCGCAGATTTCATCCTGGTAATCTCGTCCAAATATACCACTGTCCGGCATGGTTCACACAACTCAGAGAACAATCTATTATGGAAACTATACAACTAAGGACATATTCTAAACATCTGGACTGAAAGTAAGCTTAAAAATGCATCATTATCTTTTACATACATCTTATCACAAAGTGTCTATTTCTGGTTTATACACAGAAGCACAACTGTAATGATTTAATTTGTACAGACAAAAATTTGATGTTTTGTAGAATATGATGATCTAAAATACAAATAAATTACAATAAATAAAGACCACTAAAACTATGCAGTCAACTTATATGTTTTTCTCAAATTTTTGTTCATGTTCATCCCTTAATCAAACAACAATGTTCATTAATGCCAGTGAAAAATGCATATTGATAAGCTACTTATTACTAGATTAAGTTTCATTAATACTTTTCAAATTCTACAACATCCATTTAGTTTCACAAATCACAAGATATTAATTTAAAACAGCATATAAACAAGCATTAACCTTCCATTCCTATAATGCACCATTACTATATAAGACACAAGAATTTATGCAATATTTTGTATGTTATTAAACCACTGTAACTGACTGAGTATTGAGGATTTCCATCAGTGGTTCTATCCTCGATCACTGGATCCCAAGTTACCATAAGAGGAGGCATCCCTTATATTATATAAAAATGTATACATACACTATATATTGTATACATATATTTATTTTATGATTGTCTACTATTTTGAGCCTAAGGAGATCTAGTGCAAATTCAACAAAATCCTGAGCAAGATTCTTAAACAATCTTGGCCAAGGCTTGATCACACTATATCTATATATATATACAGTAAATTCTCTCATAAAGTGCACATTTCTTTCATATTACCATAAAGTTTTAACTCAAAGTTGATAAAACAGACACGTATGTAACACTTACATATCTTTATTATAGAAATATTTTCACCCCACAGTGGCTGTAGGAATGACTGCATCAAACTCCTTCTGATCTTCACCATTCTTCTTCATAATGGACTGATAGTCATTGTTTAGCAAAACGTTTTCAAGATGTTGCAAATGTGTCTAATTTATCAACTTATTAGTTCTCTGAACTATTTATCTACTTTAACTGAAAGGTTTAAAAAGGTGACTCAGGTATGAAAATATTTCTGTTCAGAGATTTCTACAGCCTGAGGAAAGCCAGCTGCTGACTGGCTTACTAAAGTCTGTGAGAGTCTCCCTATAAACCTTAAAATATAGACAATTTGCAGCCTTCTACCACACAGTAGGCGTATAACCATCTTCCAACACTTCAATATCAACAAGCAAGTGGAACAGAGAATTTAAGGCAAGCTAAAACTCTTTCTACATTTTAGTATATTTTAAACTTATAGGATTTTGTAGAAAATTTATAATAGTCACTAGCAATGTATTAGCCTTTTATGGTTTCTTTGTAAACAACACCATGACCAAACAACAGTACACTACTTCAATTACCAGCTTCCCCAGGCCTTACATAGGTCAATTTATTTTTAGGTATATGATGTATAGTTTTAGATCAATAAGCAATAACATCTACATTGTAAGGTGTCAAAAACTTCATTATTTTTGACTTTAGAAATTTAAAATTTGACTTGGGGGGGGGGGGGGGGGGGAATGTCAATAATATAATAATCTAACCTTATTTCCCCATGTTTGTCATATTACATAATGTGAAATTACATAATTCATCAATTTCAGGAACCTAATCCTTGAATTATGTGAGAATTCACCGTATTTAATAAATTAAAAGCATAAGCTGTGTAATTCAAAACATGAACTATATTTTCAAAAATTTTAAATAAAAATTACAATCTTTAACACTGCTTGTCTTTCACCATATTACAAGTTGTTCACACAATGATCTTCCATAATATGACTATATTTTATTAAAATAATAATGTGTAATCTTAGTCACTTTACCACAAAATTTAACTACTTAAACTCTGCATCTATATATATTAAGCATTCTAATACTTTTATGATTACTTTGTATAAGCAAGCAACAGATACAATACAAATTATAGTCATGCCTGTGTATATAAAACTGCTTCACTCTCTGTAGTGTTACACATGTAATCTTTATACATATTGGAAGCCATTAAGCATAATTACACTTGTCATGATATCTTACCATAAACAATACATGAACTAAACATAAAACTCTTAAGATTCAAGTAATTGCATCAGCATTGGAAAAATGATTTCCAGTCATTTTCATAACTAAATATTTAAGCTATTATTAGAGCCTCTCCATTTAATTTTTGTTCTGTTTTATAGTTCTTGTGCACAATGTTTTGTATGTAAAAACACTTATATAGTATTTTTTTTGGACAAAGTTTCATTTGTGATTTAAAATTCATCCATATTTTACCTAACTTTGTGTCTGGTTTCAAATTCATGTTCCAAGTGTCAACATCTAAACTTAAATAAATTAATAGTTTTGTTAATAAAGTATTAACTCACACATTACTGGTGATAAACTAATCAAGTGGTAAGTCTCACATTATTAGTGATAATGACATGATCAAACTGCACTACAAGTAACGTACCAAGAATATTCTTTGTGAAAACAAAGTTTAATACATTGTAATAAGATATATGCACTTCTTATAAAGTGCCTTTGCTATTAAATGGAAGATCTCAACATTTTAATAAACTTTCAAAATTTATACATGAACTAACTTTGCATAATGTGTCATAAACAACATTCATAAAAACAGTCAGTTTAAATTTCTTTATACTTAACTACCTCATAGCAAATGAATTTATTTCGTAACTGTATGTACTACTGCCATGAGTAATTATTTATGGAAGCATTAGAATCTTCAAGCCATTAAAATGGCAATGGAAGAAATTTGAGTAAATTATATTTTTTAACTTGAATAATTAACATAATTATACTGTACTTAAGGTGATATTAAAGTAATAAGTCTGAGTGTTCTCAGTCAATAATACGTATTTCAGTTCTACAGATATTCCTGCCATAGTATGCTGAAACTTTAATGTATTAAAATAATCATTTGAAGGTCACTGAATTCTTGTCACTTCAGACCCATCCACCTGTCAATTTGTGAAACAGTTCATCGTTGAGATTCTGATTGGCATCTTTTGTACGCATGGAGAGGAAGATGTAGCCACCAATGAATTCATGCACAACCTGGGGAAGTGAAAACATATTATAAAAGGGAAAACTATACTCTGTCAATAAAGGAAAAAAGTATATATTGAACTACAAAATGATCTAATATTTTCTATTGAAAGCACATGAAATTTGCACTGAAGATCATTTTACAGAATCAAAATATATACTTAGTAGCCAAAGGAACTTCTGTAATCAGGCCCTCATCCACCGCGAGTCCTGGTCATGTACTTGGCAGTAGGGGCGTTGACCCTCGGAATACTCCAGGTAGGTATACGTACCGGCTTAATCAGATTGAGATATGGAATGTCTTCATAACCGACACATGGCTTTCATAATCAAAAATGATAAAATACACCTACCGTCCGATTTACAACCTGCTCGACATACGACCTTGTTGTCTGTGCCAAATTTCTGGGAAATACGCAACTGTTTGTGTTGTACACAGAGTTTATCCTAAACCTTACGGTATAAAATACATCACTAACAGCATAGAAAATAAAAAATGAAATACCAAAATAAAACAATAAAATAAAGTCATTACAAAAATGTGATGTTGATATTCAGTAGTAAAGTTAGGAGCCAAACAGACGGCCTGAGCTTGCTACCATCTGCAGCTCGTAAGACTGCCATCCCCACGAGCCCCTTTGGTGCGGGACAGATGGTACACCAGAGGCCTAGCTTCTCCCTACAAGCCCCATGAGGGCAGGGAATGTGGCTAGGCCTGGGGACACTTGGTCCCAAAGATGAGGAGGTACTTGTACCTCCTCCCAAAGTCTCGAGACACTCCCCAGATAGGGAGCCAAAGCCGGGAGAATACCGGCGAATAAAAAAAAAAAAAAGTAGTAAAGTTCGACTTACGTCCATTTTGACTTACGACCGGTTTCTTGGAACCGAACTTGGTCGTAAGTTGGATGGTACCTGTATAGTGGTAGTACACTATTGCTTTCCATGCTTCTTTACCTCAACATCTACACATAATAATATCAATCAAGTGCTAAACCTGAAAGGGTTATATTTACACAATGTTTTATTTACATACAGTTCTTTATCTTTCTTATCTCTCTACTCATTGTTTTCAAACAAAGTTATTTTAAGCTTTTTAAACATTTACATAAAAATGCTTCTCAACCCTTTCAGGGTGGGTCCCATTGTACTACAGCTCTGAAGCCCAGATTGGTCCTGTTGTTCCAAGTGATGAGCTCAGCTCACTCAAATAAGCTGTGAATGGTAAATTTGACCCTAGATATGAAACAATGTGTCTATGCAATAAGTGTGCACCATACAAAAAAAAAATCTGCAGCACGCAGTGCATTATGGAAAAAAACTGCCATCGAATTGTTGGTTTAAAACAGTGACTTTGCAGTGTATTTTTGTATGTTTTTTGTTGTATTCTTAGATTCTTGGTTTCATTTGATAGACTGGAAGATATATTACAGAAACAGAGATGATTTTAATAGGTTTCAGGACTGAAAGTAACTAGAAACTGAACTCAAAGTAGAGGAAATGTTCAATTTTTTTTAATATTCCGGACTACACAACTTTCATCACTAGTCCAATATGCATCCAACTACTCTTCCTAATGTGTTCACAAATGCACTGACAGTATTTATACAATTATTACAAAAATACAATAGTCTGCATAACAGTAAATCTTCTTTTTTGTGTGTGAATAAAAATGAAATAGGTTAAATGAAATAGGCTAACTTACTGATCACTTTATTGGGTAGTTGAAATAGGAAAATGGGCAGTTTCTTGTACTCAGTCATTAGAATAGGAAGAATACTAAGGAAACAGCTATGAGTTTAGTCAACTGGAATAATAGAATTGACCGAAAATAGGGCTCAAAGCAGACGAAATCACCGATGCATAAATATCTACGAGACTGTTAACTTTACAAGTGTAATTCCGTAAGTTTTCCATCAAATTTTGTACTTCTGGTTTCATTACCTTCAGAAAAAGATTCTCTATCATTTCATAAGAAATTTTTTTAAATTCTCTGACCTTAGAGCAAATTTCAGGTCAGGGGTTCCAGCCCTGAAAGGGTTAATAAGCCTACTCATTGACTGGTGTGCACTTAGTTCTCTCACTTACTTCACTGGACTGCTACACATGAAACAGGATAACAGTGCTCAAAAGGATACCTTTTGGTCAGTTACTGTAGCATTCTTATGAGTTAAAAATAGTTCCACTGTACAGCTAATTTTCTTCCCCTGCTGTCTTCACCTGCTGTCTTTCTAGAAGTGTGCTGACACCCAAGTTTAGATTACCTACTGTTACGCAGGTTTCTGTATTGCATTGTAATATGTATAGTAGAGAAGTGTGTCATAATTTTATAAACTCAGTTAAAATTGTAAACCATAGTTTTATAAATAATGCACTGTAAATTAGCTCAACTGGCACTGCTCTTCCTACCTCCATAATCCAAGTCTGGCTAACCAGTCTCCCTGAATCCCTTGAAAAAGTCACCTTGCTCACACTGCAACAGCATATCAGTGTTGCACGACCCCTTGAAAGTTTAGCACTTAACTTTTTTTTTTCAACAAACTGGGTGACCCAAAAAGAAAAAAGTAACTTTCTCTCTTTAATTAAATTTACTGATGTATACAGGAGAAGAGGTTACTAGCCACTTGCTCCCAAGGCAAAATATTTTAGTCACCTACGACACGCATGGCTTACAGAGGAAGAATTCTGTTCCACTTCCTCGTGGAGATAAGAGGAAATAAACAAAAACAAGAACTAGCAAGAAAATAGAAAAAAAACAATAAGAGTGTGTATATAGATATGCTCATATATGCAAGTGTAGTGTGACCTAAGTGTAGGTACAAGTAGCAAGACATACCTGAAATCTTGCATGTTTATGAGACAGAAAAGACACTAGCAATCCTACCATCAAGTAAAATAATTAAAGGCTTTTGTTTTACACTCACTTGACAGGACAGTAGTACCTCTATGGGCAGTTGCTGTCTACCAACCTACTACCTAGGAGCATTTAATTTGATTATAATAAGAGGCTTTGGGAAGGGTAGGAGGGGGGTGTAGACTAAGAGTTTACAGTGAAACATATAGGTGAACAGTATTTAGATAAGGCTAAAGAGGTTTTAGTGGAATTTATGAATTTGGAAAAGGCTTACAATAAGGTGGATAGGGGGCAAAGTGGCATATGTTGCAAATGTGTGGAATAGGAGGTAGGTTATTGAAAGATTGAGGCTCAGGTTAGAATATGTAGGCCTTAGACAGGGACGTGTGATGTCACCATGGTTCTTCAATATGTTTATAGATGGAGTTGTAAGACAAGTGAATACTCAAGTGTTGGCAAGAGGTGTGGGGTTAAAAGATAAAGAATCTAGCACAAAGTGGGAGTTGTCACAGTTGCTCTTTGCTGATGACACTGTGCTTTTGGGAGATTCTAAAAAGAAGTTGCAGAGATTGGTTGATGAGTTTGGTAGGGTATGTAAAAGAAGGAAATTAAAAGCAAATATAGGAAAGAGTAAGGTGATGAGGATAAAAATTAGGTAATTGAAGATTGGATATTAGATGCAAGGGAGGGAGCATGGAGGAGGTGAATGTATTCAGACATATGGGAGTGCATGTGTCAGCAAATGGGTCTATGAAAGATAAGGTGAATCATAGAACTGACAAGAGGAAAAAGGTGAGTGGTGCTCTGAGGAGTCTGTGGAGGCAAACAACTTTATCCATGAAAGCAAAGAGGGGAATGTATGAGAGTATAGTTATAACAATGCTCTTGTATGGGTGTGAGGCATGGGTGGTGAATGTTGCAACAAAGACAAGGCTGGAGGCAGTGGATGTCACATCAGAGGGCAATGTGTGATGTGAATATAAAGTAGAGAACTCATAGTTTGGAGTTCAAGAGGAGGTGCAGGATTACCTAAATAATATCCAGAGAGTTGAGGAGGGGTTATTGAGATGGTTTGGACATGTAGAGAGGATGGTACAAAACAGAATGACTTCAAGAGTGTATAAATCTAAAGCAGGAGGGAGTAAAGGAGGTTTTGTGTGTGAGGGGCTTGGACCACCAGCAAGCATGCATGCATGAGCATGTTAGATAGGAGCAAATAGAGAAAAATAATTTTTAGAACTTGACGTGCTGTTGGAGTGTAAGCAAGGTAACATTTATGAAGGGAATCATTGAGACCAGCAGGCCGGACTTGATTCCTGGAGATGGGAAGTAGAGTGCCTTCAATCTGAAAGAGGGGTGTTAATGTTGCAGTTTCAAACTGTAGTGCAAGTGCACCTCTAACAAGACAGTCATGGAGTGAATGATGATGAAAGTTTTTCTTTTTTGGGCCACCCTGCCTTGATGGGAAACAGCTGATGTCTTAACAAAATAAAAAATAATAAACAGCATGTCGATTAATAACAACTTATTTCCAGTCACTCCTCTTGTACCACCTCCCTTAAATTGTTCCTGGGATAACCACTAACCCCTCTTACCTTCCACCAAAGTCCTAAATGATATTATAAGCTGGGAAGATATACTAAGCAAAACAGAAACCAACTTATGCCTAGAACAGATTAACTCGGTGGCACTCGATGTATGCTCCTTTAAGAAAAAGGACGAGTAGATGTAAAATAGAAAGAGTCAGGTGCTCCCTTTACAGGCAACGAAAACAGAATAAAAGAGCGGCTAAAAGAGGCCAATATATCTGAAATGCATAGGAGTTACTGGTCAGAGAAATAGCAAACATCGAACTTAAGTTAAAGGAATCTTATAGGAGTCAGGAATCGCGGGAAGAGCTAAAAGCCATAAATGAAATCCAAAGAAACCCAAAGTATTTCTTTTCCTATGCCAAATCAAAGTCGAGAACAACGTCCAGTATTGGGCCCCTACTTAAACAAGATAGGTCCTACACAGATGACAGCAAGGAAATGAGTGAGCTACTCAAGTCCCAATATGACTCAGTTTTTAGCAAGCCGCTAACCAGACTGAGAGATGAGAGAGCCACAGAATTTGGTTAACACAAGCCTATCTGATGTTATCTTGACGCCAAATGACT